TTTAGAAGTTTAGAAAATATTTTACCAGGTAGTCACCCAAATGAAGATGAAATGAATACTTATGATTTAATAGTATATGAAAGTTTATCTAATGAAAATGACACTAGCAAAGAGCTAGGATACAATTATAAGGACAATTATGAGAATAATAATTATGAGGATGATAATTATGAGGATAATAATTATGAGGATGATAATTATGAAGACAATAATTATAAGGACGATAATTATGAGGATGAAAATTATAAAGATGATAATTGTAAGGACAATAATTATAAGAACAATAATTATAAGAACGATAATTATGAGGACGATTATTATAAGGATGAAAATTATGAGGATGATAATTATAAGAACAATAATTATAAGGACAATAATTCTGAGGATGACAATTCTATAAATGATAATTCTGAGGATAACAATTCTGTAAAGATAATTCTGTAGACAACTTAATAAATACAAATAGTCATCAGCCAATATATCTACCTTCACCTTGTGTTGAACTGTATAGTGGAAAGACTTTTGAGCCATAAGACAAATATCAAGAAGTATTGGAATGCTATGTGAAGCAAAACAACTTTGTTATTATGTAGAAAAAAACAGGTAGACAATAGTCGTAATCTATATCAACATACATAGAATTGTGAATGGTCTGGTAAATATATTTTACACAAAACTGCTCCATCTAAAAAGCAAAAAAACAAGGGTTCAAAGAAAATCAATTGCCCTTTCCTTATTAATGCATCCAAGAGTAAGGGTCTCAATTGTAATATGATAATTAAATAAACATCGATAGAACTTACACATAACCACACTTTGACTCTTAAAAATGCAATTTTTGTTACTAGTTATTGGAAGCTCACTTCAGAAATGAAAGATCTTATCAAAAGCTACATGCTTTGTGATCTCGATGTTCTGTCTTAGGTTCGATTGTTATATAAATTGTTCCATAAAGCAACGATTGTAGATTATGATGTAAAGAATTATATGTATAAGGTTCACTGAAGTAATGAAATGCAGTCTGGTGATATA